AAAACTAAATTTATTATTTCCAAATGAACAAGAATAACCGAATTTGTCCAAAACAAAAATAGGAACCAAATTTCATCTAAAAGACGGTACCACAAAAGTCTCTTTCAAATTCAAATAAAAACCACTCTTTAATAATAATCTAGAAGTTCTTATAGCCTCTACTTCAATTGATTTGTCGTCGTCCACATAGATGAATCTTTCGACATTATTTGGCTTTTGGCTGTTCAGGCAACCCTGCATAAACACGCCTATATGAGTAGTGACACTAGAATCAATCCATCAAGTACATCTAGGTACTGAAACTAAATTAATGTCGGAACAAACCAAAGTAAGAAACGTACATTTTCTTTACACGCCAAGCGTAGTATTTGGTACAATCCCTTTTCAAGTGTCCCAGGATTCCAAGAAAGCAACAACCAGATGATTCATCATTTTCAGGTTTTTGTTGTTTCTTTTGAGTTAGATCGGGTGCATCTTCCTTATTCTTTCTTTTCTTGAACTTGTCCTTTGATGTACTAGTCAAGTGAGCACTTCTAGTCCTATCATGCTTCAACATTTCTTTTTCTTGCACATAATATGAAATGAGCTTACTTAGAATCAATTTCTCCTTTTGACAGTTATAACTGACATTGAATTGATTATATTGTGCAGAAAGAGAAATCAAAACTAAATGCACTAGCAAATCATCAGATAACTCAAGTTTTAGTGTATTCAATTTTGAAAAAATATGATACATCTCCATGATGTACTCTGGAATATTTCATTTAACTTTATGCTTTAGTGAAACTAAGTTCTCCAGGAGTGTACTAGTTTCGGTTTTATCACTTTTTGTAAAGCGTTTTTCAATTTCATCAAGAAATTCCTTGGCAATAGTTACATTATCGAACACAGCACCCCCGAATGATTCTGGAATACCGTTATGATTATATGACTCATGCGGTTTGAACGATCCCACGTATTAAAGTCCATTTTTTATCAGCGGAACTTTTATCTGAAAGTGTAGCGGATTGTTTAGTTCTTAACGCAATGTCTAAGTCCATCCAATCAAGAACTATCCTAACGTTCCTTTTCAGTCCTTAAAGTTGGTTATATTTAACACGAAATTAGAGTTGATGTTTGCAGATATTGTAAAAGCAAGAGAGTTAACTAAATAGAGAACAAAACCAAATAAATATGTTCATATTAGAATCCGTATTAAACAATTAATTAATTCAAATAATGACAAACCCCATCACAAGAGACCTAGCATAATATTGATATTTAGCTTTTGAATAGAAATACCAACTTGTAAGTGATGCTTTTAGTGCAGTAATCAAATATTAATAATAAATTATGTCAAACAATAAACCAATATTTGGACCAAATTATTGTTCACATAAAAAAACTTTACAATTGTCATATATTTATTACCACAAGTATGCATGTAATTAGGCCAAACATTTACCTTCATTTGGGTTGTTGAATATCCGCATAAATTACACACACACAACCATCTTGCTGTTTCAAATAAATTAGCTTAGACAATAGATGCTACTTTGGCAACATGTTGTTTCAACTAATAAATTTAGAACATTAGATAATTGAATTAAAATTTACCAAAATTTGAATTTTAGTTATTAATCCCGTATTCTTTTATTTTTTGTTTTGTTTTAACAACTAAAAAAAAAAAAAATTCGAAATCGGATAGAGATGCAGCGCTGCAACGCCCAGGAGTTGCGGTGCTTTTATATCGACGTGAAAAATTCCAAAATTTTGATACCTAGGGTTTGAAATTCACATCCCAAAAATTAATAAAACTAAAGTATGAATTTCAACCCTAAAAACCTTCTTTTAGACTCAACGTTTTAACATGGATTGACTCTGATACCACTTATTGAATTTTATGAAACTTAAACTTTATAAAACATTACGAATTGCCAATATCTCTATGTCAAATCATCAAAAAAATTAATTAATACTGAACATACCTTGATCCACTGATTTGTATCTTGCACATTGAATTCTAAATCTTTAATTTTGATTTCTTGTTCTTTAATTTAAATCTTGATTATAGATTCTTGAATTCTTCAATCTTTTTTCTTGATTTTTGAATTCCTTTATGGGATTTTGGATCTTCTTCTTCAATATGCTATTTTATTTTTGAATTCTTGTATTGGTTTGATGACAAAAAGAATGCGAAAATTGCATATGAATTGGAGATCACAACCCAATATATAATTTTCATATGTACTCGATTCATCGTTAAATACAACCCTAATGTATCCAATCTCTACACATATAATCTGATCCACACTTTATTTAGATACGTAAAACCCAATTACTTAATTCTTTATTAGACTACTTTAATTTTGAACTTAACTTTAAGATAACCTTTATTCACAATTAATTACATATATCGGCCCAAATTATTATTATGTTAAATATTATTGATTTTGATTAGAATCCGAATTTTTATCGATATGGGCAGGCCCGGTTCTGTGGCGAGGCAGATGAGACCACCGCCTCAGGCCCAAAACTGGAGGGGGCCTGTTTTACTGCCAAGGTTTAAGCTAGTAATATGTTGCATAATACACCGTTGAATTTTGCGATTACGTTGATTTTGGGGGCCTAATTTATGGATTTCGCCTCGGGCCCCGAAAATTACAGGACCGGCCCTGGATATGGGTATACTATTTTCCTACTTCCATTCATAACAAGTCTCGCCCATTTAGAAACTAAAAACAGAAAGACCGGACGTCAGTGTTATTACCTAAACAGTAGAGGACGTAAGTGTAAGTTTACGAAACTTACCGCCATAAAGCCAAAAGGAATCAATAATACAGAGATCTGTCCCGTAGGTACACTGAACCCTAATTCGCTTATTAGTGCGCACGAGAACTCAAAACCTCAAAAAACAGAGGTAATTTCTTACTTTTAATCGTGCACGCACGCATGTACACTGAAATTATCCCGGTAATTTTTGTATTTTTGTGTAGGAAAATAAGGTGAAGAAGTCCCTGCTCGACGAGTTATTTGTTTTGTGTGGTTCGAGAAAGTTGGAGTTCAGTTGCTGAGTTACTTTCATCTTTGGTATGTTATTGATGACGAATGTGTTTAATTAGATATAATTTTGCTGGATGGGTTTTGTGGCGTGACGATTTAGTAAATATATCTGTCCCGTATTCGTTCCCACGTACTCAGGGCTTTGGAATTGAAGTTGGACGAGATTAGTTTCGAATTTGTTAGGGGATTTTCTTCTGACTTTTTACGGAAAACCCCAATTCTCACTAACAAGTTACAAGATTTACTGCCGATGTTTTACTCGAGAGGAGAACTTTGATTTTTATTTTTTAGTAGTTTTTGCCCATATTATTATTTTCCCTTTAATTTCTATATTGTTTAATTGGATAGTGAAAGTTATAGGACATATATTTTCAAAAGTAAATAGTAGTGAATGGTGCACTTTTGGCTTTTATGTTTTCCGAGAGGAAAGGGGACGGGCAGTTATGTAACTTCTGACATTAAAAGTTTATTGTGTTTGATTATTGATAAGTTTCATTATCACTACCTCTTGTGCACATAGATTCAGCTTATGTATGAAATTGATTTTGATTAGGTAATTATTTAATGTTTCAAAGAAGTGAGACTGCATTTGGTGGTAAGGAATTGCGTTTTGGAATTGTAATTAGAAATGAGTCCACTGAAGCCTCTATTTAGATCCGTCTCGAGTCCATCTCTCCGTCTCTCTCTTGCATAGATACTAATATCACAGTCTCAAGCACCCAATTTAATGGGTGGTTTTCTCCACCATGGCATCAGGACACCTAATAGAGGACTTGAATTAACATTATGAAACAAACTACCTTTGATAACAAAAAGAAACATACTTTTCAGAGTGTAGAATAGACCAGTTTTTTTGAAGCATGAACATTGACATTAAAATTATATTTGTAGATTTTTTACTGTCATAAGCATCATATTTTGAGCTGGCTGTTCCTTGTGCTGGCATATAGTTCACATGTACTCGCTACTATAGATTGTAGCAATGTAACAAGAACAGTCCATCGAAAAGTCATAGAGATTAAGCTCTATACTTGGGCATCTTTGCATCTTCCTTTTTGGCTCTCGAAAATATGTTTACACTTGGTTTTTATTAGATGATTTGCCCATCTATGTTTTATTTCTAACGATCATTTCCAGGCATGTGCTAAGCTGTAAATGCCTGGAATGTTGAGTTTATATGTTTGGGTCTGCCTGTCGATCTAAAACAGAAGTTCTATTCCTACATATGCTTTTGTGCCTTGTGTATTTTTTCTTACAAATGAAAATAGAACTTGCATAGCTTTTGTGCACATGGCCAATCGTAGTGGGTCGGCAAGATAAGGTCGCCATCATTGGCCCATAATTATGAACTTGAATTCAATTGACTCGTATTTCAGTAAATTTTGGGACTTGTTTCATATTTTCCAAGACTGTTTTCTTCAGTGCATTTCAGGGAAATCCGAATAAGGTAAATCGATAAATATATGACAATCTTACCTCATCTCATGACACAAATGCTTTGTTTATGATAGATGTCAAGCGCTTGGACAAATATGAGCTTTGGAATCATTCATAGGGATGTAGATTGGGAGTGGGAGAAATCAGGGAGGAGTTTTTGGTATATTTATATAATTGGAAGTTCTTGCTCCCTCTGTGAAGAGCTATCCATCTGCGAAAATTTTAGAGAGGATGAGGAGATCAAATTTTAATTCAAATAAATTATAGCTTTGGAGCATCTTGGAGCATATGAGCAATGGAGCTTGTGGAGCACCGCTCACCTTGAGGATTGCTCTCTTGGTTTGCTTCATAAGTTTTGTTTTGCTTTTGATTTGTTGTCATCAAATGTATCTCACAAGGACAGAAAATGTATAGGAATATATTGAATTTATTATTATTTCTCATTGGTTATCTTTAAATTGTTCCCAATTATGAAATATCTGCAGCATTGCAGTGAACGTGATTGCTCTCAAGGACTGAAAATGAGTGGTCGTTTCTCGCGCACAATCTATGTTGGCAACCTTCCCGCAGATATAAGAGAGTCAGAAGTTGAAGACATATTCTATAAGGTTTGAGTTGAATATTTAATGTAACTCCCTCCTCATTATTTTGGGTTCATGGGGTTCAAATGGGAGTGTTGCTTGGTGCAATTTTGAAAAAGTGTTCTCTTGCTTTTGCTGTTGCATTTGGAGACAGTCTCTTTACTTTTTTATAGCAGAGTTGTATAGCTACAATGTATAAGCCTTTTCTCTGTTAAACTCTCTACTTACTCCCTATTGGCAAGAACCACTCTAGCAGAAGTCCTGTAGTAATAGAACTTCATATATAGCAGCACATGTTGGGGATATGTAAAATTAGTTGTTATTGAAGTGTACTATGACTGAAACAGTTGTCTGAGTGTGTGGGACCAATTTATTAGGAAAGTAAGTTCGTTCAACTCTGGATCATAATTCTTGGTAGATTATGTTGACTGCATCTTTTCCGCCCATGTAAATCTGCTATTCATCTGGAAAGGTAATATTACCGTGCTATCTTATTATGGCATGCCTTTGTAATTTCACATTTATTAGCCTGCGAAGCTTTAATTAAACTAAGCCCCTGTTTGATGGCCATTATTTGGCCAAAACAATGTTTTGAATAGGGATTTTTAGGAGAATGTGTGGTTAAAAAGTGGGGAAAATTTTTGGGTTTACGTGCGAAATATTTTATTGTGTTAATATGTGGTTGAAAATGAGTAGGTTGGAAAAAAAAGTTTTCAAATAATGGTTGTCATATAGGGGCTAAATGTTAAAATTGGGGCTCTGCTAATCGGGGTCTGTTCTTGAACTGGATATGGGACTCTGTTAGATTGATGTTAGGCCTCCAATGTCAACAACCTCACCAGTTGTAGTATACTTACTAATAAACAATTCATGAACTTTGTGGTTTTTTATGCTAAATGAAGATCTAAAGAGTATCAAGGTTGTGTTTGGTGCTTTAAATTAGCAGGGTATTGATGGTATTTTTGAAACACAGGACACATTCTGACACGTAATTTTATCTCTTCTCAATACCTGTTTCCAGTTGAGTTCAATGATGGCTTAAATTTTTAAGACATTCCCCCACTTTTCACCTCTAAAAACTGATTGCTTCTTTATAGTATCTGTATTTTTTGGAACACAGGACACAATGTTTCTGTTTCTAGCTTGTAATTTTATCTCTTCTCAATACCTGGTTCTAATTGATCGATGGCTTAAACTTTTAGAAATTCCCTCTACTTTTCACCTTTAAAAGCTTTTCCTTAATTTATAGTATATTTATTCTTCTCTTGCAGTATGGTCATATATTGGAGATTGAATTGAAGATTCCACCTCGTCCTCCTTGCTATTGTTTTGTGGAGGTAATTTTATATTAAGCTCAAATTGACAGATGTATGCATTTAATTAGGACCCAAATATTTGTATTTCTTGCCTTACAATTTTTTTTTTCATAAATGAGAAAATAATTAGTCATGTGACGAGTTTGAATGTTAACTATATTTAGTTTGAGCATGCTCGGGATGCAGAAGATGCTATCAGGGGCAGAGATGGCTATAACTTTGATGGGTGCCGACTGAGGGTGAGAACAGTTTGTTCCTAAAAGTAGCAAATTTTTTAAAACTAACTATATTTTCTAGCTTCTTCGTTTTTTGCATTTATTTTATTGATTTTATGTTCAACTTAATCTGCTCCTTGTCAGGTTGAGCTTGCACATGGTGGCAGAGGGCCATCGTCTTCAAGTGATCGTCGTGGAGGCTACGGTGGCGGTGGCGGTGGCAGTGGTGGTGGAGGCGGCGGCCGATTTGGCACTTCTCGCCATTCTGAGTATCGAGGTGCTGCCTTACTTACCAATTTATGCTTACAGATTTGGATGTATGCTTACACTTTCCAGTGTAAGAATGTTTCAATGTCTTTGTCTTAAAATGTTTACATGGATACAGTTATTGTTCGTGGGCTTCCGTCTTCTGCTTCTTGGCAAGATTTGAAGGTAAGGGGAATATCTTTTCAGCGAGAAATTTGTTTCAATTGCGTTTCTGGAGCTATAGTATTTAACTTGCTGCAAAATGTTTTAGGATCATATGCGAAAAGCTGGGGATGTCTGTTTTGCTGAAGTTTCCCGTGACAGTGAAGGTATATTAAGCCCTTGTTTATCATTCATTTTTCTAAAAATTTATTTTCAACTGCACATTCATACAATAAAATATTTTGCAAGTAAGCCCAAAACTTTTTCCTATTTTTAACCACACGTTCTCCAAAAAAATCACGGTTCCAAAACTCGTTTTCTCCAAAAAAACTCTTTTTAATGTTTGTCAAACAGGGTCTAAGCATTCTCAGCAATACCAATTTGTGTATGATGCGTAGCAGATATTAATGGCCTCTATGAAAATATGTTGACATTGATCTGATGTTGACTATATTCAGGAACCTATGGCCTCGTTGATTATACTAGTTATGAAGACATGAAATATGCTGTAAGTTATTGGAGTACTCATCTATAAATTAGTTTACATTTTGGCTATTGATGTTGGACACGGATTATTTGTTCCATTCTAGCTGATAATGAGTTTGTCTTGCTCAGATCCGGAAACTTGATGATACTGAGTTTAGAAATCCCTGGACCAGAACTTACATCCGGGTATGTTTGTACTTTTTGCATTATGCATTAAAAGTAAATTTGAGCCCGTCAGATGCTCTTTCTTGCAATTATTGATGTGACCTTGAAGTGTTATTTCATCTGAGAAATTTAACTCTTTAAGATTAGGAATTTCTGGTATTGAACTGCACGAATATTAAATAATATATTTATGAAAGCAACTTACCTGGCAACATAATAGAATATTTGTTTTTTGGTACATCAACGAGTTCAGGTTAGGGAATACAAGCACAGTCTGTCAAGAAGCCCGAGCAGGAGCCGCAGTCGAAGCAGAAGTCCCAGAAGGAATAGAGGGTATTTGTAGTTTGAAGTATATTTGCTTGGCTTCACTGCAGTCTCTATTTGGTGATTCTAAACTACCATGTTATCTTTATGCAGCAAATCAATTGATCGGTCTGTTTCCAGATCACCATCTAATTCTCCTGTTAAGCCAGCCAGGTACATGGGAATGAATGTTTCTTCTAATTCATTTGCTTTGCAGTTATTAATACGTTCCCTCATCAACCATTTTTTCTTTGTTTACTTAAATGTGCAGAGCTAGATCAAGGTCGAGGTCATTGTCCAGGTCTAGATCAAAATCAATGTCAAGATCGGCATCTCCTCATCAGGTAATAAAGGATTGACACGTACAAGTATTTCACAATATTGCATTCTTCCTGCAATTGGAAGATATAAATATGGGCTCGAAAGAGGGCCCGACTTTAAAGCAAGTTTGTTTATTTAGAGCTGTTTTATTTGACTTTTTGTTTATAATTCTCACCGTCATTAATTTCCTTCCAGGCAAGGTCTGGCAGTGGCTAAACGTGATGCTCACTCATTCAAGCCTGCTGGTATGCTAGTGTTTTTTAGCATGCTACTGATATGCAGCTGAGACGATACTGTACTGGAACATGTCATTATAAGTTTAAATTTAGACTTTGAGATTCCTTAATGGTTTTTATTGATGTCTTGTGGATCTTTTGAGTGCTGAGTTTTCGCTCGATGAATGCTTTTTGGAGGCTAAATTCGTTGATGGTTGTTTGCATTGTTTGCCGGCATTTTAATCCTTGTGAATGACCTGAGTTTTCTGTGGTTTTGGATATTGTCAGCTTGTTGTAATACATAACAGACCCCTTTTGTATTACTGACTGTTTTATGACCGCCTGCCAAGCCCGACTTCTAACCTTGCAAGCGATGGGAGGCTGACCAGGCTCAAGTTGCCGAGATCATTACAAGACTTGTTAGGGGGGTTTCAATTGGGCGTCGGGATCCTCTTTCAAGGCATAATTGTAAACTTCCACATGTTGCAACAAAATAATCCTCAACTGACGAGACACTTTGAGGACAACCCATTTCCGCTCTACCAAAAACTCTGTAAATGGAAAGACGTGAAACATAGAGCGACAATAATTGGACTTGAAGGAGCTGTTTAATTTTCGTACTAGAGACTATTGGTAAACATTAGTAATGTAAACTGGGGGACCAAGATTACCTGTTGGGCGGGCAGCCAATTTACCAGTTAAAACTTCTCTGTGCTAAGCTAATAGGTTAGTATGTTTGCTTATGTTTAAAAGTAATTTAAATTTAGTTTTGAGTTAACTATTTCAGTCTAGGGATTATATAGACATTCATGGACGATGATAAGGTCCATCCATTTAGCAGTACCTTAGAATGACATAGTCTTGTAAAGACGAGGTTCGAAAGAGGAAAGGTTTGGGGTGCTGCTTAGGAACCCAGAGACGAGGAATGTTATAGCCATCAACGAAATGCTTCGAGGAGTTGAAAATGAGTATGGATATAGGACAACATTTCGAACTAGTGCTGAATCTATGGGTAAATAAGAGAACTTGGCGTATTGAAACATCTTAGAGAAAAAAATGTATTTTAAAAATGATTTTAAAAATATAGTCGACTTTTAATAGGTGAGGAGTTGAGAATATATTTCTAATCTAATCAACTTCAAATAAGAGAAGACTGAAGAATCATCCCTGAATATCGACCGGCACCAAATAGACAATGACTTGCCAATTTCTAGAATGCAAGTTGATCTTAAATGGAATACTCACGATGGGCATATGAGATACCAAGTGTCACAAATAGCCTCTAAATGTAAATCGATCTTGATATGTGAGGGCTTATAATCCTAAATAACTGGGAGGACTTACGAATGACCTTAGAAATATAATCGACTTCAAATAGGTGATGATCTACGAAATGCAATTGAAAATAACATGTCAAGATTTAACGACGTTTACACATCGTCTGACCCTCCAAATACTCACGACAATAGAGCATTACTATCAATCGTTTTTTAGACTGCCACTATAGTAACACAAATAAAGCATGACTCATATATAGAATAACAACATAGTAGGTGTGAAGCAAGTAAATACAAACGTTATTATTTTATCGTTTATGGCATGCATACTGACGACAAATTATGTGCTAGCAGGAAAATAAAATGGCAGTAGAATACTAATATACCATCAATCCCTCTCTCAAATCTGAGTTATACATTTATCTACAGATCGAACTTGTAAAAATTTAAAAATATGACGTGATTCATAATTTTCTTACAGAGGTTATGCATGCAGCAGGGACGTAGTCAAGATTTCAATCTTGCGGGGGAGAAAATATGAGGGGGGGGGGGGGGGGGGGGGGG